GGGGGGGGGGGGGGGGGGGGGGGGGGGGGGGGGGGGGGGGGGGGGGGGGGGGGGGGGGGGGGGGGGGGGGGGGGGGGGGGGGGGGGGGAGGGTTGCGGACCCTACGCGCAGCTGACTGCACAGGCGACGCTAGAGAGGGTGTGACTGATCGATTGAGTCTTGTCTCGGTTTGTTCGCCTCTTCCACGTCGTGATGACTGTCACCGCACATGTGCTCGTATGTCGAGCGCACTACACCCCCTCCTTCCCGCTGACTCCCTCGGGTCTTTCTCCTCTCTCTCTCTCTGTGTCGCACTTCGAGCAGGACTGCTTGCTCCTGCTTGTGGGCTAATTCCTCCCCCCACCCCCCACCCCCTCCCGACCCGGGAATTGTGCACACAGAGAACGTCTCTCTCCTCCCAGCAGGTATTACTGCGCAATTGAACCCGCGTATAGCTAGAAAACCCCAATATAGCTTAGTCGTCCGACGTCTGACCAAACAATACTCTTGCTAGCAAGGTCTTGCCGGGCAGCTGGAGCACTATTTTTGGCCTCGCTACACCACTGGCCGAATGGGAAGAGAGGTATAAAGTGGCAAGTGCATCTCACTTGCTAGCTGAAGATGGGCGATGCTTACACATTCGGTGTACTGCATCACAAGGGCGATTAGAAGACGAGAATGAACAGGCACGCACCCTTATCGTATGTGAATGATCATACTACCATTTCCCAGAGATCGTGGGTTCCCCCTATTACTCCTGCTCTCTGCATCTATGCTGGGTATAACGACGGTGATGATGGGTGGTATGAGATTACGGGGAAGATATAGGGCTTTGGAATTTGATTTTTGGGAATCCATCAGATCAGAAGGGTCTGATGCCACGTGGCACTTGGAGGTTGATCGACCTTGCGGCTGAATGGGAGTTCGTCAGCTACAGCGATGACTGTTTCCTCTTTCATTGCTAGTGACCTAGATGTGTCTGAACGTGTCTGATCAGCTACCATCACTGCTAAAGCATGATTGATTGATTGCTGACGTAAGTCGATTGATTGATTGATTGGAGGGATGCGTACGTCCGCCGCCGACAGGGTAACAAATCGAGCAATGCGTGGAGTAGCTCCTGTTCTGATTCGTCGTTTGGGGGGGGGGGGGATACGACCAGTGCTTGATTAGGTGGTTGGTTGTGGAAGAAGTGATGTGGGTGCTGTCCCCTGTGAGAGAAGCAGGTCAACCGCGCGGAGAGGGGTGGATGCTGCATCCGTGCTACTCCGCTTGTGGCTGGTTCCTCCGAGGCTGGGGCATCGAGTCTGTTCTCGTGTGGTCACAGTTACCTGCCACGCGTCGATCTGCCGATGAAGGGGAATGGGGAATCTATATTTGTAATAGATTTCGAGGAAGGTGTTTGTTTGGGGGGAGAGGGGGGAAGAACAGAAGGTGGTGGGAGGAAGGGGGCCTCAGGGAGGGGAGCATGGGACAAAGCCGTATGGAGGCAGGCAGGCAGACGAATGGGGTCCCCAGGCAGAGGAATGGGGTTCCAATCCTCCCCCTGCGGCTCTTGAAGCAACCATATTAGCTTTCCCACACGCAGTGGGAACAACGTCGCTCTGAGTCTCGATCCCAGACACGCCCGAGCGGGATCTCACCTCCTGTGCTTCCGTCAGATCGGGATAGTAAAGGGGCACGGGGCGCATTGGTCATGTCTGGTGTATCTGTGATCGTCAGGTCGTGCAGGCTGCCGTCTTCCCCCTCCTCACTCCTCCTCCCCACTGTATCGGACCGGAAAGAGAGCTTGTGCACGTTCACGATCGGAGCGTGAAAGAGGGCAGTGTACAAGTGGGCAGCAAGGTAATGTAGTGGGCAGCAAGGTAATGTAGGAGGCAGCCAGGCGTGGAGTTCACATCGAATGAACGGGACAAGGGGAGGTACTCATGAATGGACTCTTCCCTTGTGGCAACTTGTGCCTGGGAGTTCTTTTCTAACGCGATAGGTGTGGGTTCCCTAATGTCTCGCTCGTTGTAATAACGAAAGTGCTCTCTTTCTCACATCTGCTTTCTCTTTGTCTCTCTGTCTCATCTCCGTTCTCTTCACCCTCTGTCTCGTTTTCTTCTCTTCTCTTCTGCTCTTTCTCATTTCCATCTCTCTCTCTCTCACTGTTATGTCCTTCCTCTTCATCCCTCCCTCCCTCTCTCTCCGCCCCCCCGCCTCCCTCTCTCTCTCTTTCTCTCCCTGCCTCCCTCTGTCCCTCTTTTTGGATGTGTGATAGGGTCGGATTGAGAGGGAGCTGTCCGAATGCGGGAAGGCAGTTGGCTTGCTGCCGCTGCTTGGTTCCTGCTATCTATGCTATAATAGACCGATGAACCGGGATCCCTCGGTTTCCGTATTTCTCTCTCTGTCTATTCGGTAGCGTATTTCTGGATCTATGTGCAGACTTTATAGAGTCGAGCGACGAGCATATGGGTAACCCGCAAAACCCATCGATAGTCCAGGCTTATATACTATGATGCATGATAGCATATGCCATACGCAGTGTTGCTCTGCTCTCACTAGTCCGTCGGATGTCACAATATACTAGATCAGCATAGATGGATGCTAATACTGGTAGTCGATGTTAATGCCCTGTTTACTATACTGCCTTTCCCCCCCCTCTTTTCTCTTTTAACGAAGTACCATCTTGTGAAGGTAATCCGTTAGACCTAGTCGATGTTAATGCCTGTATACTATACTGCCTTTCCCCCCCCTCTTTTCTCTTTTAACGAAGGTAATCCGTTAGACATTTAACCAGCTCCGATGTCTGATGTAGCATCTTGGCCCAGCGTCAGCGTCTGTTTTCTGAATGGATCAACATAGTTGCTATGCTGAGAGCATGCTATACTGATAGTATATGCTATACGTTGTTTACTGTGCAGATAGTATGATATATATGTTTGTGACAATATATGTTTGTGACGATATATATATATATGAAACAGTTTGTCACAGCCCCTCGTTTGTTGTCCTCTTCTCCCTCTCTGCCTACGCTTTACCGGGCAGTTCTATTTGACGATATATATATATATAT